CCTCTAAGACTTGAAATCCTGATCCAATAATCGGAGCTCAGTCCCTATATTTTTTCAAAGTTTCTTTAAGGCAATTCAAATGAAAAAAAAAAAGAAAAAAAGAAATTTACAAGCAGTGAGCAGCAGAGATGTAGAGAATGGATTTTAAGAGAATATTGGCAAAAGTTAATATCACTTTCAAAAGCCACTGCAACAACTAACAAATAGTATAATCATGTAGAAGAAATAAAGACTCAAGGATAATTAAATGTTGAGACAACATAAAGCATAATCACTAATAATGCTGGTGTATTTTTTTGTGGCATATTCTTTATTAAGATGAGGATAATTGATCCAAAATCAATACTTAATCTCTCAACAATCTCTCCATCTTCAAGTATAGCAGTAGACACTAAGCTTATTAGTAACTTTTTTTTTTTCTATTTTCAGGTTTACAACCTTCACAGATCTCCATACTTTTGGGACCGGCCTCATGAGTTCGAACCTGAGAGGTTCTTAGTGCCAAGAAAAAGTGAAGGAATTGAAGGATGGGCTGGTTTTGATCCTTCTCGGAGTGCTGCAGCGTTGTACCCAAATGAGGTTCTTACTGTTTCAAAGTATTTCAAGTTTATTATTCACCTGGTTTTACATTTTTAATTGCCAGATCATATCAGATTTTGCCTTCTTGCCTTTTGGCGGGGGACCACACAAATGTGTTGGAGATCAGTTTGCACTCATGGAATCAACTGTAGCATTGGCACTATGGTTGCAAAAGTTCACTGTGGAACTGAAAGGATCTCCAGAATCAGTGGAACTTGTTACAGGGGCAACAATTCATACAAAAAGTGGTCTATGGTGCAAATTGAGAAAGAGGGCATCCACTGTTTGTGATAATGTGAAACATGGTTAGAAATTAACCATATTACATGATAGTTCAGCATATAATTGGAAGGTTAACCTCTGAAAATGAGATGACTAATCCTTCCTTGACTCATTTGAAGGAGGAAGAGGCTCAAAAGAAGATTCAATTGAGACAGGAAGGGGGAAAACAAACAACTGTGACAAATTCTCCCCCTTTGGACAATGCCTCTCCTGAGAAAGATCATAAAAAGAAAAAAGTTCATCAAAGGTAACATCCATTGAGGAATACCGAGTTCCAGTCTTTGGATCAAAGCAATAATAACCCTTTTGTGTGGGGGAATAACCAAAGAAAATGCACATATAGGTTTTTGATTCAAATTTATGTCTCTGGATACTTGGAATATGTACATAACAAGTGCAGCCAAAGATAGGGAGTGGAATAGGAAAAAGGTATTTGCCCGGATGAAGAAGACTGAAAAGAGACTTAATCCCCAACACCCCGGACGGCATACGATTGATTAGGTAGGTTGTAGTGAGAACAACATCACCCCAAAATCTTGTAGGAACATGTGAGGCAAACAGAATACTTCTTGCAACTTCAACAATGTCGGTTTTTTCTTTCAAAAACTTCATTCTGTTATGGAGTCCTAACATGGGAACTTTGGTGAATAACCCCAAAATCAGTGAGATAACAAGTTAGGTTTTTCTCAAAATATTCTTTTGCATTATCAGATCTAAAAATTTTAATTCTGATATCAAATTGGGTTAGAACAAATTCATGGAACTACCTCGCAAGTCTAGGAACTTCATCACGGGACTTCATAAAAAATATCCAAGTATATCGTGAAAAATCATCAATGAACAAGATAAAATATTTGTAGCCACCCATAGAGGGTAAGTGGTAAGGCCCCCACACATCAAAATGCACAATATAGAATGGAGAAGAAGATCTTTTATATATATATATATATATATATAAATGAAAATGAGATGACGAATCCTCCCTTGACTCATTTGAAGGAGGAAGAAGCTCAAAAGATTAGTTAACTGAGACAGGAAGGGGGAAAGCAAACAACTGTGACAAATTCTCCCCCTTTGGACAATGCCTCTCCTGAGAATGATCATAAAAAGAAGAAAGCTCATCAAAGGTGACATCCATTGAGGCATACCGAGTTCCAGTCTTTGGATCAAAGCAACAATAACCCTTTTGTGTGGGGGAATAACCAAAGAAAATGCACTTTTAGGCTTTTTGTTCAAATTTATGTCTCTGGATACTTGGAATATGTACATAACAAGTGCAGTCAAAGACATGAAGTGGAATAGAAAAAAAGTTTTTGCCCGGATGAAGAAAACTGAAAGGAGACTTAAACCCCAACACCCCGGATGGCATACGATTGGTTAGGAAGGTTGTAGTGAGAACAACATCACCCCAAAATCTTGTAGGAACATGTGAGGCAAACAGGATACTTCTTGCAACTTCAACAATATGCCGTTTTTTTCTTTCGAAAACTCCATTTTGTTCTGGAGTCCTAACACAGGAATTTTGGCGAATAACCCCCAAATCAGTGAGATAACAGGTTATGTTTTTCTCAAAATATTCTTTTGCATTGTCGGATCTAAAAATTTTAATTCTGATATCAAATTGGGTTAGAAGAAATTCATGGAACTACCTCACAAGTCTAGGAACTTCATCACGAGACTTCATAAAAAATATCCAAGTATATCGTGAAAAATCATCAATGAACAAGATAAAATATTTGTAGCCACCCATAGAGGGTAAGTGGCAAGGCCCCCATACATCAGAATGCACAATATGGAATGGAGAAAAATATCTTTTATTACTCAAAGGGTAATTGCTTCTACAATGTTTTGACAACTCACAAGACTCACAATGAATACTTGACAAACTAATTCCCTTAAATAGTTCTGAGAATAAATGATTCAATGAAGTAAAAGAAAAATGACCCAAACAAAAATGACATAGCATAACATGATTGACAGACTAAAGATGTAGATCCAAAGGCAGCTTCCCCAAGTTGTCCTTGGCCCTGTCTAGGAGTGTCTAGTAGATATATTCCATTTGCCTCATGACCATTCCCAATCACTTTCTAAGACTCTAGATCCTAAAAAACACAGTAGGAAGGAAAAAAGGTTAACAGCCGTTCAAAGACTTAGTTAAGATGCTTACAGATAACAAATTTTTATTTAGTTTGGGTACATGAAGAGCAGAAGGAAGTACCAAAGAGTCTGTAGCCTTGATGGTTCCCTTGCTAGAGATAGGAGCAAGAGAGCCATCGGCTAAGGTGATTTTATCACGACCAGGAAGCAAATCATAAGAAATAAACAAGGTGGAAAGACTGGTCATATAGTTAGAAGCATCAGAATCAATAATCCAAGAGGTCCTACAATTACCTAAGATAGTTGCATGGTTGACAAAAGCCCGTATACCTGAATGAGCAAATGTAGAAGATGTTGAATTTCCCAGAGGGTTGGAAGAAGAGGCCGCACCCTCTAGGTGACTGATCATCCTTCCAAACTTCTCATACTCGTCCTTCATAACTACTAATCGATCGCTAGCAGTCCTCTCTTCAGTTGGGCAACTGTCACTATCTGGACCAGCAGCAATATTAGTACTTCCTGCCTTCATATTATCAGTCTTTTTTGGAAAACGAAGGGGAAGAAGCTATGGATGCAATTTCCAACACTTGTCTTTTGTGTGTTTTTGTTTCTTACAATACTCATAAATAACTTCTTTCTTCCCTGAGCCAACTAGATTTCTTGTAATTCCCTTAGGTTTCATCCCCCATGTTAGCATAGTGATCATTTAGACTAGCCCCTTGAACTTGGACTAGTCTCCTGCTTTCCTCACTGCTTACCAAGGCATAGGCTTGAGACAATGAAATACTATCCTTGGATAAGATATTCTGCTTTGTGATGTCATACTTGGAATTCAGCCCCGTAAAAATCTCAAATACCCTGTTTCTATCAACTAGTTTCCTGTAGGTTTCAACATCATTAGTGCTTTCCCAGGCTACAGTTTTCATCAAGTCAATTTCTTGCCAAAGAGATTTCAATATTGAGAAATAAACAACCAAAGGTTTCTCCCCTTAAATTTTTCACATCACTCCTCAGCTTGTATATTCTAGCTACATTTAATTTCTGGGAATAGGTTTCAGCAACACTTTTCCATATTTCCTTTGCTGAATTCATCCACAAATAATGTTGATTAATTTGATATTGCATTGAATTCATTAACCATCTGATTACAGTATAATTTTCTTGCATCCATTTTTAATAGGATGGATCATCTTCCGAGGGAGCCTTCTTGCTCCCGGAGATATAACCCCATTTGCCTCTACTGCAGATATGAATTTTTACTAATTGTGACCATGCTAGATAATTAGTTCCATCTAGCCTGACTGTGATCACAGCTAGTAGAGAGTCAACAGAGGCTCCCAGAACCTGTCTGGATTCAGCAACATTCTTGTTTTCAACTTCCGAAGGGTCCATTTTCTTAAAACACTTCAAAAATAACTTCTAATAACTTTAAATAACAATCAATGAAGACAGAAAAAATAGTGTTGTGAATCAACCTCTATGAAGTCGTACCTGTTAACTGCGCCACACCTAAACAAGAAGACTTTTAGTCACTAAGCACCAAGGTCAAACTCCCTGTGGGGCCAGTAAGCAAATTACTGTAGTTAATTAGGGTTTCGGGCAACACACTTGATATTGTCAAGAGGATGACAAAGATAGCCTCCTCTCCAAAAACCACTAACAACTAGGCTGAAAAATATTTTTTTAACTATTCATCCGATTCAGTTCTCCATACACACCGTGTATGGGAAGAAAGAGGAGAAAAGAGAAAAACAAGAGCCCGCTCTAATACCAAGAAGAAAAACAACCTTCTAAAATGAATGGACTGTTCAAAATGATGCAGAAAAGTGATTGAAAATAGCAGAAATCAGTCTATGGGCCATAAGGGTTTAGAGAGAGATTTTCGAACATAACCTCCTCTTACACCCCTAATCCTATTTCATTAACTTAATTTCAATAATTTACAGAAAGGCTCTTAGTTGGGCGAATAATTAAGAAGACATAACATAAGAGAAAAGGCCCAAGTTGAGGCCCATTACAACAAAGAACATAAAGAAACAAAATAAGAAAATAGTCTATGGGCCATTCGGCTCATCTTCTCTACAATTCTCAATTAAAGATATCAAATGGGATACATTTATATATCAACCACAGTCATTTATGAAGCCAAAATTTAAGATCAACTTGTTTCAGCTTAATCACGTATAGAAGAAAATGAAACATATAGAAATAAAGTAAACAAAACCTTGGGTGCATCTTCTCAGTTAAATAATCCATAGGAAAAGCTTGGCACACTCAAATTCATCTTTGTTCAGACTTCAGTCTCTCGTGGCAATAGGTTACTCAAAACTACAGAGAGGGGGGAAGCTATTAACTCCTGCTTCTGACCTGTCATGGAGATGGGGTTAGACATTAGAGCACATGTGGAACAACTTTAAGAACATCAAAAAGAATTGAGTTTGAAAAGGACAATATTTTTTATTGAAATTCCCTTTTCAATATTGAAAAGATCAATACCGAATATATCTGGATCTGCTTTTTCCACTAAAACACTCAGCAAGCACCCCTAAAGCTTCTCCCTCGAAAAATATTCAAATAAAGAGGTATTCAAAGTTGAAATTTCAATTCTGTATTAAGAAAACAAGGAAAAGGGGCCAATTTGTTCTTTCTAACCACTATTCATGGGGCAAGTTTCAGCTTAAAGTCTTCTGCCATATAAGATGTAGCCACAATAAACCCATCTTTAGGGGATTTTTAATTAAATTAAAAGATAGAAATTTCAAATAACTTGTATTGTTCAGGGAAATTTCTAATACAAGCTGGGGTTTAAGACATGCTGCCTGGGGGAAAAACAATTGGCTGACTTATAGGACCTCTAGTCTGATGTATGGTTTAAATTGTCTGAACACACACACACACTTTAGGGTATCTTGCCAATCAATCGGCCAAGAGATGGGCTTGGTTAGAATGAGCCAGAACTCTACCATTTTGAAAGCCTCTACTCATCAACTGGGTTTGGGTTGACTTCCGTAATTTCTGGCATACATGACAATGAAGATGTATTTCTGGCATACATGTCCTTTTGTCAGAATACTTGGGGGTATTATATGGGGTATATATATATATATATATGGAGAGAGAGAGAGAGAGGTTAACCTTCCAATTATATGCTGAACTATCAGGTAATATGGTGACTTTCTAACCATGTTTCACATTATCACAAACAGTGGATGCCCTCTTTCTCAATTTGCACCATAGACCACTTTTTGTATGAATTGTTGCCCCTGTAACAAGTTCCACTGATTCTGGAGATCCTTTCAGTTCCACAGTGAACTTTTGCAACAATAATACCAATGCTACAGTTGATTCCATGAGTGCAAACTGATCTCCAACACATTTGCGTGGTCCCCCACCAAAAGGCAAGAAGGCAAAATCTGATATGATCTGGCAATTAAAAATGAAAAACCAGGTGAATAATAAACATTAAATACTTTGAAACGGTAAGCTTAATAACTTCATGGTGAAGAACCTCATTTGGGTACAATGCCCCAGCGCTCCGGCAAGGATCAAAACCAGCCCATCCTTCAATCCCTTCACTTTTTCTTGGCACTAAGAACCTCTCAGGTTCAAACTCATGAGGCCGGTCCCAAAAGTATGGAGATCTGTGGAGGTTGTAAACCTGAAAATAGAAAAAGAGTTACTGATAAGCTTGAAATGAGTACAATTCTAACAGAAAAAATCCTAGAAAAAGATATCTATGTGATTTACAGTTATAAATGAATGCTTGTCTATCCACCTCACCATGTAAACAGGCTTCCTAACATCTATGATCTATCTCTCCTTTTTCATTGACCTTTAAAATTCCATTTCTTGACAATTATAGTCCAATAATTGATTTCAGAAGAATTTCTGGTGAAGGGAAATCAAACAAAAGAAAAGAACCTAGGTGCTCAATCTCCTCTCAAACATCCAGAGAACCTCTCTCTCCGAGCCCTCTACTCTCCTCACTAACCTGTTTAGGCTCAGAGTTTCTATTACATCCCTCCATCCAAAGGTATCTAGGTGGTCAATCTCCTCCCAAACATCCTGAGAATAAGTAGTATGTACTGTCTCTCTCTCTCTCTCTGAGCCCTAGAAACTTTACTGCTATACAAGAAGATGGAGATTGTTGAGAGATTAAGTATTGATTTTGGATCAACTATCCTCATATTAATAAAGAATATGCAATAAAAAAATACATCAGCATTATTAGCGATTATCCTTTTTGTTGTCTCAACATTTATGGTGCTCAGTCTAGTACTGATCATCCTTTCTGAGTCTATATTTCTTCTACATGATTATACTATTTGTTAGTTGTTGCAGTGGCTTTTGAAAGTGATAGTAATTTTTGGCAATATTCTCTTAAAGCCATGATCTCTACATCTCTGGTGCTCACTGCTTGTAAATTTCTTTTTTCTTTTTTGTTTTTTCATTTGAATTGTTTTATCTGTTTAGACATTTTCATGTGCCACTTGAGTTGAGTCAAATTGGATCAGATGGAGATATATGGCGCAGTTTTCAAAGTGCCAAGCTGAGGCTAGGCAATATTGCCACCTAGTTGCCTAGACGAGCACCTCTGGGCAATGGTTTTTTTTTTTAAATAGAAATCCTAAATCCTAGGGCAATTCCCTAGATTCCATAGCAACCAGCAACCATCTTTCACAAGCATAAACTTTATATCAAAATATACAAAGTTAAGCATATCAATGGGAAGAAAAAGAAGAAAAGAAACTTTAAAAAATATAGGGACTGAACCCCTATTTTTTTTTTCCTAAGAAAAGTAGAAAAGAAAGGGTGAAAGGAGAAGAATATGTTGATTGGATAAAACTTTGAGTTCTTCCTTGATTATTGGTTCAGGATTTCAAGTCTTAGAGGATTCAAGACAGCATACACTAACATGAATGTTGATTGAACCCTAACAAATAAGAAAATAATAAAAAAATCAGTATAAGAACCCACATAATGAATAATTTAGTGTAATAATGTCTATTTCATTATTATAATCCTAAATTGAATCCGACTATAGGTTTATCATATCTATCAAGGCATCCAAATTGAGTCAGCTTTGCCAGATTTCTTATCAAATTAAATTAAGATAGGGGTACATTCACTTATCTTGCTCTGGAGATAGATATCAAAGAAGAGCCCGTCAGTGCTAAATGTTTAGATACCACAACATGATGGACCACAAAAGATATATTTGTCAAAATCTTCATGTCGGCATCATTATCAGTGCTCATTTTCTTTAACTTATAGAGTAGTCAAGAATAGTAAATGGACCAGGTGCTATTTACATCAAGTTCATCTGATCAAGTCGGTTTTAGAAAAAAGGAACTTTGTAGATCACCAAAGATTGAGCTGATATTTCCTCTCTTTCTACATGCACATAAACTGGAGTAACTTGCACTCATGTTTGGAATAGTTCAATATTGTTAATCATATATCATCTATCATAGTTTTATTTAGTTAATAAAGTATATTCTGTATCAAAGAATCGTTGGAGGGGGATGAGATGCCTAATCCAAAGTAATATTTTTGAGCAAGTAGCATTATTCATCATTTTCAAACCTCAGCACGAATTATACATCCTTTAATGTTCAATTTATGTTGCATTTTTCTCTCCTCCCATCAACTTCCATGGTTGCAATTCTACGCTACTGAAAAACAGCTTATATAATCCTTTCTTGTAAGAATTTTGGGGGTGTGACCTGAAGATATCCCTAGATCTGTGGAGATGCAAGTGCATGTTCGTTGGTTCAGAGTCTGAATTGCTTCGGAAGCTGAAGCAACGCTATGGAGAAATCCCTATGAGTTTCAGGAAGATGATGACGTGTCATTTTGGCTCCCAGGTGGAAGCAGAAGAAGAGAGGGAGGGAGTGAAGCCCGAGGAAAGGGAAGTGGAACCGAATCTGAGCATCGAAAATCTTCAAAGGAAGACAACTTTTTTCAAAACGATTGTAAGGAAGATGAAAGGACAGGGTTACCTTTAAATGGGTGGGGCAGGTTTGGATCATCGGGTTACCGGATTAGGCCGAATGGGTCGGTTGAGCCAAAGGAGAGTGGGTCGGGTTTCACAGGATAATCCTAGCGAGTCTTCGTCTAAAACTTTTGGTTTCAAAGTTACTAGCTCTGACAGTTCGAGTTTGATGCAAAGGAAGACAGGAGATGCTGAAAGTTTAAGAGATCGAGCCAAAGGCTCGTGGAACCCTTTGTCTTCACAAGATGAGGCTTACAGGGGCTCAGAGCAAGCAAACTCAGGGGACACTCTCTCAGGTTCAGTAGTCGCGCCTCCATCAGCTACCCCTGTTCAGGGCTGTCCCTTGAAGATTTCTTACCGCCCAGAAGAAATATTGAAGAAAACTCAAGCCCGCAGCAAAGAGGAACATAAAAGTAGGGTGAAATTTTGGTTCAAGAGAAGGAAGGGCGATAAGAGAAAGCTTCCTGGGCTTAAAAGAGTGGACTAACAAGAAGAAGATTTTCAAACAAGGCCAGAGAAAAAAAAAAAAAAAAGATTTGGCTGATAGCTAAGTATGACGAAAATGGTAGGAAGAGGATCATAGGTGGAAAAGGAAAGATTTCTGACGACTACCCATGTTTGCCTGTGACTTGTGATGCCGGGCAGCTTCCTCAGGTTAATAAGGAGATTGACGGGATTTGTGGTTTCTCAAAGCCCAAAGCTGCAGCTGAATTGACCCTAGGGGATAGATATGAATCAGAAAAAACAGATTGACGGGATTTGTGGTTTTTCCTTTCCCTGTGGAATCAGAGAGGTGGAAAGGGGAGGAAGAAACAATTTGGAAAAGAGATGTTAGGGCTGAGGTAGAGCTGGAGAATGAAGGTTTACCTGAAGATTTACCTGAAGAACAAGGTGAAAACCTTGTAGAGGATAAATTACCCTACAAGGAGGTTAAGGATGGAAGGGTGGGCATCGATTTGGGTAGAGGGAGCAATTTCTAGGAGGAGGAACAGATTTTCGAAATGACCAATAAGAAGCCACGTAATGGGAGAAACCATAACATCGTACATGTGACAGATTTTTTCAAGGCTAAAACTCGGCCTAGCAGGGACAGGACCGACAAAAAAAAATACTAATGGGTATACAAGAGGAATAGAATAAGAGGTAATGGGACATCTGGTACAGTTCATAGGGAGGTAACAAAGTAGATTGGTCTCCCTTCAGACGAAGGAACAGCAGGATAGTGAGATAAGCAGGGTCGAGCCTGATTCTGGTGAGAACAGGTTGCCGCAAAGTAATGTCATTATTGATGGAGAGTCAGATGTTGTAGCTCTCCAGAGACTAGTGGAGAGAGAAGTTGCGACCGGGAGAACAAAAGAAGAAAAACAAGGAGGAGAAGCTTCAAAGATTGGGGAAAGAAATAGAGAGAGGGAGAGAGAGAGAGAGAGCAGAGAAGATTCAAAAGGATTAAGAAGTCAAGGAATTAGCACAAAATGAGAAGGTGAATATCAAAAAATTGGTGGAGAGAGAGGTAGAGATTAGAAAGTCTCTAGGTTTAGTTTTTTGGGGAGGAGAAGGCTTCACGAAAATAGCTTTTGAAAAGTTTGAAAAAAAGAAAATAGAAGGGAAAAAGAAAAAGGAAGAGTATTTAGAAAAAGTCAAAGGGTGGGATGAGGAATGGGGAGAAGAGGGTCTGGACGAGATTGAGTGATCTTGGGACTGGTGGAAGACAGGGAGACGGAGAGGAAGATGTGGTTCCTTAGCCAGATTGCAAGGGGTATGAGAGAAGGAAGGAGGGAGGAGAATGGGTGGAGCATTGGATATTTGATAGCAGGATTGGGCAATCTGATCAAGCCTCCAAAGCTGATCCCATTGAGAATTTCTGGAATTTCCTGATTTTTAGCCTTGTAATGCAGAATCCCTTTTCACTTTTAAGCTTTGAGAATGTATTTGGTATGTCATCTAGATAACCAAGGGTGATAGGATGTAATCTTTTTTTTTTTAATGAAAATTTTGCTTGATTCTTCAAAACAAAAATCCTTCTTGTAGTTATGTTCCATGTTTTATTCTTCTATGATTAAATATTCAGATTTAAACCTGAACGTTCCTTGCTTCTTATAGAGTTCATGTTGATTAATATCAGATTTCAACGAAACTACTAAACAACACAAGTAGATGCTTATAATTTAAGAAAAACCCCAAGTATAAAACATGAAAAAAAAATTCAGAGTTATTAATCAGAATAACTTCAGCCCTATGGCCTTTCCTCTCCTTAATGGTCTAATAGAAAAAAGCCAAATGTCATGATAATTTGCCCTTCTTTTGACAATATCCTCATCTTAATGGTCCACTAGAAATGGAAACACAGTTGATAGATTTTAGATCTTCATTTAGTGAAACTAACATTAAAATAAGTGCAAGAAAACTAGAATCAAAGCAACAACAAATCTTGTGAGGGAAACAACTAGTTCTACTCACAGAAACAAATAAATCAGTCCCAGCAGGAATTGGATATCCCTCTTTGTCACCTTTGTATCCCCCTGAAAGATTGATTCAAATATAATCAACAAATATACAAAGAGATTGAGGCATCATGTAAACAAGATGTGAATCACATCATTAAAGAATGATTTGACAAAGTTTAGAAGTTCAATTATAGTGAAATATTGTTGAATTGGGAATTTGGCAATCTTCAGGGATTCCTTTACTCACCAAAAGATCCCTACATACTGAAAACACATGAGATGCAAAGAGTACACAACCCCAAAACTTAAATTGGGGCACTCTAGGCAACCCAAAAATCTTTCACATCCCTAAAGGTCTCTCATGAAGGACTAAAGTCACCTTAATAATGAGAAAAACTGCATATTTGTAGACCTATGGAATCAAATTCCTTGTTAAGCAAGAAAAGCTTAAAGATAGCCCTGTCACTAGAAACAACAGAAAAAAAACATTCTAACAGCAATATAATAAGAAGGAAACATCAAGAAATAATGAAGAGGAGGGATCATAAGCTGGTCAATCATTTTCTCTACACTCCCTCTTTTCTTTCTTCCTCCTCTCTTCTTCTCTTCTCTTCTCTTCATCTCTGTTTTTCCTCTTCTTTTCTGATTTCTCCTTGCTAGACAGGTCTGAACCTCATCGGTTTCAGACAACTGTTTGAGACTAGAGTGTTAAAGTCCTTTTACCTATTTCTTTCTTTTATGTTTAGAAAGCCATTTTACCTATCCTTTTACCTGAAATATTATGGCTGAAATCACTCCTTGCAGAATTGGGAATTGAGTTTGAAAGACCCTTGATGCTGTATTGTGATAACCAGGTGGCCACTAACATTGCTCACAACCCAATACAGCATGATAGAACCAAACACGTTAAAGTTGACAGACATTTCATCTGAGAGAAAGTTGCCTCTCAAGAAGTATGCCTTCCTTATGTTACCACTAATATGCAACTTGCTGATGTCTTCACCAAGGCAGTCAACAAAATCAAGCTTGAAACAGATTTAAGCAAGTTGGGAATGATAAATCTCTTTTCCCAACTTGAGGGGGTGTGTAGAGAAAATGATTGACCAGCTTGTGGTCCCTCCTCTTCATTATTTCTTGATCTTTCCTTCTTATTATATTGCTGTTAGAATCTTTTTTCTGCTGTTTCTAGTGACAGGTATTCTTGTCATTGTACCTCTTTTATTATAAGACTAATATAAAGAGCACCTGGGGCAGTAGACTAGATACATAAGTCTGCACCCCTTTTCTCTCTATTCTTTCTTCCTCCTGTCTTCTTCTCTTCTCTTCTCTTCATCTCTGTTTTTCCCTCTTCTTTTCTGATTTCTCCTTGCTAGACAGGTCTGAACCTCATCGGTTTTAGACAACTGTGTGAGACTAGAGCGTTCAAGTCCTTTTACCTGTTCTTTCTTTTATGTTTAGATCTGTCCTAACTTTTAAAGTAGATTGGATATTGAATTTATTAGTTATGTTTCGAATGCAGCTACAGTAACCCGAACCAGGAGAGAAGGAAGAAGATGAAGAAGAAGAAAAGAGAAAGAGAGAACAGGAGGGTTTAGTCAAAACTGATTGATTCACTATTCATTCGACCCCCTAATGTTTATTAGGTTCTAATAACCTTTACAAAGACTAAACT